GAAGAAGCATGGTTAGCTCTGGAGAACAGTAGGGCATCCAGGGACTGGAGGAATGAGAGCATTTGGATTTCAAAATGAAATTTCTAGATGCCTTGAGGAGGGCCACGGACACCAGTTGAGCACCATTGGGCTGTCTCAGTTGATGGTGGTTAATGATGGATTTTCCAGTTTGCATCCTCAGTCCTCACGGTTGCCAGAAAATCATCTAGTACAACCCCTTCATTTCATAGATTAAAGCTCAAAGGTGTGAAATGACTTGGTCAAGGTCTCATGGCTAATTGGCGGCAGAGAGACTAAAAGTCAGGCTCTCTTGACTTGTGGCTCACTGCTTTTCCTGGGCAGCCAGCCCACAGATAGAATCCCCGCCCCTCATGCCTAGGGCTATGTAAGTGCATCAAGGAGAAAAATCTGTAACAGCTGGACAGGTGGGCCGCTCTGGTACCATCAAGAACAGTGCTGCAGTCAGTGGACCCTTCAGAATCTCTCTGTGCAGGCACCCTGGGCACTGCTCAGGAGCATGCCACTATTATAGGCAAGGATGTCAGGCAGACAGGCTGCCCTTGAGGACAGATGTCTCCTGGTTTTCCCTCCCCTGGCAGCAGACCCACCCTCTCCAAACACTAGTCAAGACTTGAGGCCAGCTGCTGTGGAGCTCAGATCCCCTTCATCAGCCCCTAGGTGAGGAGTTAGGAGGGCCAAGCTGGTTTCTGCAGCTTTCTGGACTACAGTGACCTCTCCTGCACCGGGGAGCTCATTACCAGCCAGGGGCCCTAAGGCGGCCTCTCCGACAGCAAGTAGAGATGAAAGCAATAAGGTGTTGGCTGTTCTGCTGCCCCTGGTCACCCCTGGTTTTATTAAAGTCCAAGGTCTCAAACATTCCTAATGTGGATTAGAAGTCTGGTAAGGTATGTGGAATCTAGGGCTGAAACCCCCTGAGACAGAATGGGGCAGAGAGAGGGTCAGGTGAGGGCAGCCATTTGGGTTGAGCTGGGCTCAGCTTGCCAGAGAAGGAGGGTGGCCACCAGGAGATGCTGACTATCTCTGTTTGCTTAGCTCCCATCTCTCTATTTACTCAAAATTAACCTATTTATTTTCCTTTATCAAATAACCCAGTCCTCTGCTGCCTGCTTGTTCAGGGGAACAGTCCCTCTTCAATCTACTGAGTCAAGAACAGCCAACTCGCCCTCAGGCCTGATAAGGCCAGTTCATCTAAAGCAGAAGCCCCAAGACTGGGCTTCAAGGGTCCTGGTCCCATTTCCTCTCTGCCTCCATGTCCCAGTAGGATCCTAGATCTGTCCCTTAGCTTGTATGGGCCCACAGATGGAAGGTGGAAGTCACTGTTGGATGCAGGGGGGCTCCACAGTGTACACAGACTCAGTACCCACATGTCCCTCAGGTGCCATGGTCCTAGAAGGAAGGAAAGCCCTGCAAAAAGAGTGTCTGTAGGCCCAAGCTCCTGGAAGGAGCCAGCCTTGAGAGCAATTCCTAGAGCCCCAGAAGGTTCCATTTACCCTGAAGGTCCACAAACAAACTAACTCAAACTCCCCAGTGGAGACAGGCTGTGAAAGTACAACTTAGCTTCTGTAGGATGGCGGTGGTGGGGACATGGTGACAGTAGCCTATTTACTCCCTCTCAGAGGGGCTGTAGCAGCTTCCAGAATTCTTCTCAGGGCCCTAACTTGATAGTAGCACTGACAGACAGAACTATTCTTGCCAGGGATCTTTTAGCTAAAATGGAATCCTCCCTTCCTGCAGGCAAATATGTAGCCACTCTTGTGTGCCGTTGGGTACCTCTGAAGCCAAAGTCAGAGTGAGGGGACTAGGGGCTGTGGCTCAGTGGTGGAGTGCTTGCCTAGCACATGTGAGGCACTGGGTTGGATCCTCAGCCCCACATACAAATAAATAAATAAATGATGGTATTGTGTCCATCTACAACTAAAAACAAAATACTTAAAAAAAGAGTAAGGCAAGAATCTTGTCCCAAAAGGGCCTCTCATCATTATATGCTGCGGGTGGGGGGCACAGATGCAGGTCAAAGGTGACTTGGTGGTTCCTGTGAGCTCTTTGGGGCAGAAAACACTGCAGGATGTGGGGGGAGATGCTCAATGCAAGCTGCACCCTGAGGCAGGGGCCCTGGGGGTAAACAACCCTGGGTCCCATAGCAGGCATAGATTGTCCAAGCAAAGAGGAGAGAGAGAGGCATTCTGGCAAAAGTAACCAAAGATACACCAACCATGTGGAGCAGAGAGCTGGCAGAGAGGGAGGAGAGAGAATCAGGTGAGGAGGTAAGATAGAGCCCAACTGTTGAGAGCCCCAAATGCAAGCGAAGAGGATGAGCCTTGATTCAGAAGCCAAATAAGGGAGCCACTGAGGGCATATGAGCAGTGGCATTGACACAAGAAAGTCTGGCACCAGAGCACTCACTGGCCATGCAACCTTGGGTGAGTCCCTTAACTTCACCAAACATTCATCTTCTCCCTCATGCAATGGGGATAATAAAGATACCTGCCTCATAGGGCTATGCTAAGACTCACAGAGAGAATTTAGCAAAGAACTTTGTAGAGTACCTGGCATGTGCTCAGTGGACAGTCCATTACTGGCTTAGCGAGTCTGAAAGGGCTTATGTGACTTTGGCCAGGCTCAAACCTCGGGGAACTTAAAAGGGAAATAAAGGGAGTTGGGCTTCTCTTTGTACCTTGTTTCTCTGTCAGAGATGGACCATTCAGTCAGATGCACCATCCCTGCCACAGGAGATCTGACCACGTTCCCACAACATTGGGGAATTCTTCTGTGTTTCCCTCCATTAACAAAGAGACTAGGGAGACAGGAGACGCACCTGAGGAATATGGGGGTCCTAGCACTTTCCCTGAACTGGCTACACACCCCTAAATTACATGAGTTAAGGGCGGGGTGGGGAGTGGGGAGGAATATATACTCTCCACAAAGCACCGTACCTTTGGCATTCAGCAAACATGAATGGATCATCCAACAATAACAAAAAAAGAGTGCTGCGTGGTCAAAGGGACATCTCAAGGTTACCTTGAGATGCACCCTAGTGAGCTGTCAGGGGCTCTGCTCATGGTGGAGTGTGAGGAGCGCTCTCCCAAGAGATGGGGCTCAGCTAGCCAGGCAAGGCTTTTCAACCTGAGTAAATGCAGGATGTAATGGCAACAATCCCTGCCTCCCAGAGCTGCTGTGAACCTCAAAGGTGGAAAAGCATCATAGACAAGCTGCATAGGTGGTGGTCTTGGATCACTGGCTCTCTGGAGGTCAGGGGCATGTGTGCTGGCGCAGGTGACTGGCCCTGCTGGGGTATCCCTACTCTGGCTCCAGTCTGACCCGCCTCCTGGGGAACTGGGGGTAGTCACCTTCTGTCACTATGCCTGGAATTTGGGCAGGAGGATAGGTGGACAAAAGGCAAGTGTGGGGTTAGGGAAGGGTGGGTGCCAGCGCCACCTAGAGGGGAACTTTGGGATCACATGCCCTGGAAGGGGTTGGGTAGGGGGAGTCTTGGCTAATTCTCCAGGCTGGTGGGAACTCCAACAGTCTCCAATAGAGGGTGGTCCTTTGAGAGGGGAATGGACAAAACCACCCAACTTCTCTCCTGCTCAGAAGTCACCTCCTCAGGAAGGCCTTCCCTGGCTAAAATTACAACTGTAATCCCAACCTGGTCATTTCATATCCTCTTCTCTGCCTTACATTTTTTTTCCTTGATACTTTTGATTATCTAACTTATTTATTTACTTTTTAAAATTGTCCTTGGCCCTAATAAAATTCAAGCTCCACAAAGGCAGGGATTTTTTTTTTTTGTCTCTTTTGTTCTCTCCTGTATTCCCAGCACTCAGGTCAAGACCTAACACATAGTAGGTGCTTAATAAATATTGTTGAATGAATGTATGAATAAACACAAACCCTGAGCTCCACTTCTTCAAACCTAGTTCTGGGAGCCCTATGGGAGCAAACATCTCTGTAGCTTGCAGTTCCAAGTCAACTTTACCCCATTTCAGTAAATGGGGAACAGGAAAAGGAAGCAGTCTGTCAGAGTGCTATCTAATACAACAGATGGACATGCTTGCCGTCGTTCTAGGAAGATATTAAAACTTCTAGGGAGGGGAGTTCTGTTTTCTCAGAAACTTCCAGGGATCCCCAGCCATGATGATTCTTGGGACAGGAGAAGCAGCGGAGTGTGTGTTCCTTGCTGGGTTTATTTTTGAAGGATGATCACATTTAAGGAAAAAGGTCAAGCCCGGGATGACAAGGGTACATCTCCTTGGTTGGCAGCATGTCCCAAGCAGGGTGTCAGTTCCTTTTAAGTCCACACTAAGACTTGAAGTTAGAGAGCTGGGTATGTTTCCGGAAAGTTGGGGATTGGCAAAGAATGACCAAGCTGAGGAGCAGAGGCAGAAAAGAATTGCAGATCTGCTAGGAGAGGAGCCACCCGATGGCTAGAGCTTGATCCCATCCAGGACACTACCACAGCCACTAGCCTCGACCCTGGATGGGCATGAAGTCAAGGGGATCAGAGATGGGAAAGGGTGAGCTGGAGAACTAGAATGGACCATCCAGGGCGGCTACAGTCAAGGGGTGCCCACAAGGCAAGTCAGACCAAAGCAGAATGGGAAGGACTGGGACCAGAATCTGATCAAAAGCCAGAGAGAAGCTGGGCACATGTTGACACCTGCCTCTCATCCCAGCTAATCAGGAGACTGAGACAGGAGAATAGCAAGTTTGAAGCCAGCCTCAGAAACTTAGGAAGACCCTGCCTCAAAATTTTAAAAGAAGTGAGAAATAATATTGAAGGGGGCAAATTCTATTGAAAGAGCAATATTATTATTTTGTACCCAGTTACTCCTACCATGGAGGCTAGTCCCTTGGGTCTTGAGCACATGGCCCTGTGACTCCAAGAGTTTTCTCCTGGGCCCCAGAGTGCCCCATGGCCCCTGCACAGGGAGAAAGCCCATGTGTGCCTCTCACCTGCCTTCTTGTCTGCTTCTTTGCAGGAAAGCGTGGACTTGGGAGAGATCATGTTCTCCCTCTGCTACCTGCCCACGGCTGGCAGGCTAACCCTCACGGTGATCAAATGTCGCAACCTCAAGGCGATGGACATCACAGGCTATTCAGGTACCTCTCTTACTCATGTGGCCTACCATGCAACCTCCCCAAATCCAGACATTAAGATTTGGTTGAGCGTTCAGGAAGAAAGAGCAAGACCTGTGCTATTCTTAGACTAGGAGCACCAGCTCAGGAGGCAAAGACCTGCATCCACTTCTGTCCCTTCTTTTCTGTGTAAAGGCTGTGGTTTCTGTGTTAGTTTTCCTTCACTGTGACAAAATACCTGAGAAAAAAATCAACTTAAAGGAGGGAAGGTGGGGCTAGGGGTACCCGAGTGATGGAGCCTCTGCTTAACATGTGCAAGATCTTGGATTCAATCCTCAGTATTGAAAATAATTCATAAATAAAAGATTGATTTGGGCTCACAGTTCCAGAGGTTTCAATCCTTGTTCTCTGGGCCCTATTTTTTTGGTCTGTGGCAGCATGGGACCTCATGGTGGGAGCACAAGGCAGAGGCCTGTTCACCTCATAGAAGCAAAGAGAGAGGAAGAAGAGGGGCCAGGGTCTTAATATCCCTTCAAGGGCATGGCCCCAATAACCCAACTTCCCTCCACCAGCCCCTACCTCCTGAAGGTCTCCACTACCTCCTATTAGTGCTATAGGCTGAGGACCAAGCCATCAACAAATTGGCCTTTAAGGGCCATTCAAGATCCAAATTATTGCAGTTTCCTAATCTGAAAAGCGAGTTAATCCACGTGAATGTTTAGCCTTGTGCCTGACACATCATGAGCACTCAGTAGAGACGAGCTATTACCACCATTCTCTCTCTTAGAGGAAGGAGAGAGAATCCGAAGGAAATATATAGGAGACAAAGTAAAGACAATCTTCACAGTTTATATGAGGCCCCAGGACTTCAAGAAGGGTTTTGTCAAGTTTGTGCAAATGTTTGCAGGCCCACACAGGCCTAGGGCGGCAGCCCTGTGTACTGAGTCAAAGGAGCAAATCCACTGAAAAGCAAAGCACATTTTTATCTGAGCTTTTCCTGCAGGGCTCCCAGCCTCAGCCTCAACACCAAGGGAGCTGAGCTCCAGCAGAATAGAAATACAGTGCCATGCCAGCAACGCAGGAGAGGCTTGTTTGGAACAACTGCAGAGACCTGCAGGCTGGACATGGCTTGATCCTCCATGATTCCACAAGTGTAGAATTAATTCTACAGGTGGTCGTAGAAGGTATTTGCACTTGGAGATAACGAAGAAGCAGCTTGAGGCCTGGGAACCTCCTTCTCCATCAGCTCGAATTGCCCCCAGGAGTAAGAGAGATAAAGCCTCCCAAACAACAGCTCAAGCTCAATGGTTTGTAGAATGTTCTGGACATTTAGGACAGCAAATGGGGGGAACGTCTCAGTTTGTTTCCCTAGACCCTCTCCAAGAGGCCCTTCTAATGATTCCAATTAAGAGTGTAAAACCACTCAGGAGACAACTCTGAACTTGGCTGGGAATGTATGGAAAAGTTTTCCTTTGTATTTGTTGATTACTTATTCTCTAGAAGACTCCTAGGTATAACCACATTTGCCATACAGGGGAGAAGGTCCTGCTGAAAATACCTGGGGCAAAGAGCAACCTCGTGAAGGTGGAAGAAGATGAGCTATCAGGCCTAGGAAACTGTGGTTTTAGGAAAGAGTGGTCAGGAAATATTAATTCAGTATAACCTGCATTTATTTACYACACCTCCTCTTCCGTCTCTCTTACTGGCAATTGAGCCCAGTTGCTTTCTACCACTGAGCTGCATCCCCAGCCCTTTTTATTTTTTATATTGAAACAGGGTCTCTCTAAGTTGCTGAGACTGGCCTCTAATTTATGATCCTCTTGCCTCAGCCTCCCCATGTACCTGGGATTAGGGGCATATGCCACTGCACCCGGTTTGTTTACTGCACCTTTGAACCTCTGGGGAGACTCTGCTTCAGCCTCCAATTGTCTCTGTGGTACCCTTCACCAGGCCAAAAGCCCCCCAAGGAGACCCCATCCCCCCAACCTCCTCTATCCACCAAAGCTGCTGACACACATCAGGACACAGTGAAGAGCTTAGGGAACCTTTGCTGACATGCAGAAAATTCTCAGGCAGCAGTAAGTCAGCTTCCCTCAAAATACAGCCAATGTCGATTTCATTTTAATACCGAAATAAGTGTGTGCTGGGGACAGAAATTCACTAAGGACTCTTGGGGCTCCGGAGGGAAATAGGATTTTGCTGTCCTGGTCCTCACACTATCTTCTCTGGTATAATTAAAGTGATGTGCAAGAGAGAGAGAGAGGGAGGGCCCATAGTAAAGCCATGGGTAATCACAAAGACTGTTCCGGATCAGAGGGTTTGGGGCGAGAGGTATTTTTATGCCAAGTTCTAACATCCCTCTCACAATTATCCCTCTTCTCTACTGGGTTTTGAAATCTGGTATTAAATCTCAGCTGGATTCTGAAAAGGTAGGGGTCCTCTTTGCCTCAGAGATGTCTATTTTGTTCACCCATGTAAGTAAGTTTGTGGAACATAGGAAACATTCATTAAATACAGATTAGTGAATGAACGAGCGAACGAGGGTGGCACTGGGCATGTGTGGGTGCCAGGGGCCTCTCAGACTAGATTTCCTGTTTTCAAGGATGAGTTTGACGTTGCCTTCAGCCGATCCAACATCAGTTTGATGTTGGACTGATCTGGGGAGTGAATGGAGTTTATTAATTGCCTGTTCCAGACATACATGGCATTGACCTCTAAAACCAAGGATCTTTCTGTTTTTCTTGATCTAAAATCCCTGAATCAATTCTCTAAACCCTTCTGCTAGGACCATAGCAATTAAAACTGTACAAAATAATGAAGAAGGACCAGCATGCTGCAAACGGTTGGGGAAGAGAGTCAACCCTCTCATCCGTGCCACAGCTGGTCTGCGCCGCTTAGAATCTAGGGGTCAAAAATGTGAGAGCTTTGAAATCAGACCTGGCTTCAATTCTGAAGCCATTTCCTTCATCCCCCTAAGCCTCACTTTTCCTATTGATGAAATGGAGATTTGATGATAAATATTTCATAGGGTTGATATGAAGTTTAAAGGAACCTGATAGGTATACAACTCTTAGCAGAGTGCCCAGCGCATTCCAGATGCTGGATTCTGGTAGCTTCTGTGACAATGAGGTTGAAATGCACTGCTGGTCTTTGTGCCCCCTCAATCCGCTGCAGAGAGGAACAGGCCTCACATATCACCAGAGGCCAGCATTCCACTAGACACCATAAACTTTTGTCTGGGAGATCCCTGGGGAACAGTCATCTCCGCTCAGCCTTGTGAGAGTGTTGGTTCCTGCGAGGAAATATGTTCACTGAATTATAAATTGGATATGCCTTGTAGGGATGAGCAGAGTTGGGGAGGGGTGCTGAGGCATGGGCCCAGCGGCCCATGGGACAAGAAGCTCTGCCTATATTTTTCCAAGCCTCGTGACATGAACATTTKCTCTTGAGTGGGAGTATATGAAATCAGGTACAACAGAGGAAAGGGCAAACTCATGCCTGAAGACACTTTCTAAAGCTCTGCGCTTCCTGAAGACGTTCAGGTCTCAGGGCCAGCTCTTCTCACCTGTCTGCTAGGACCTGAGCAGTGTCCTGGGGCATGTCCATGGAGAATGGAGCCCGTGAGCCAGAATGCTGTCTCCTGTGGGTTCATTCCTCTCCTCCCTGTTTACTGAAAAATCCCTCTGAGAGGGGACCCTTGCAAATGTGTACTCAGAGACAGCAGGTTGATTGAATTCCTCATGGTCTCCCCAGTTCCTCCATAAACTTAAGTGTCCCCGTGGTTAAGGCACAGCTGCCACTGTCACGTTGGTTAGTCAGCAGCTTATTTACATGTCTACAGAATAACATTAAGGCTTAGAGCTTCTGGTCGGGTGCTGCAGTTTCTCTAGTTCCCACCATGGGTAGGCACCTCATCTGCCCCTGAGTGAAGCCAGGGAGCCTGAGGGCCGAGTGGGTCTTGGCTGCCCAGGAGATAGAACCGTGCATCTCTGAATCGCAGAGCCAGGGAGCGGCTGCCTTGACTAGCACCTCCTGACAGATTCACATGAGCCCTGGCTGCTGGGCATAAAGGGTGTCTTGGCACATCAGCATCTCAACAGCTATTATTACCTGTGAGTCACCCTCTTGTTTCGTGAGCCGTGCAACATAAATACTAATTATGACGGTGACCAAGACACCTGTGCTATGAGACACAATAGGTGTCACTTCATTTGGATGAGTAGAAAATTTCAGGGTAGAGTGATGACCATGAAATACCTATTCAGAAAACGAACAAAGAGACAGGATCAGGAGGCACATGGAAGTTTAGTAAAAAAAGACGTCTCTTTGCAGGATGGAGAGCATCCAAGATCCCACTGAGAAATGAAATGTCAACCAGCTGCCCTGAGTCTCAGGAGACCACCTCACTCCCTCCCCTGGCCAAAGCTCCCTCCCCTTCTACTGTTCAGAAGTTGGCAGGAAATGGCTTCCAGGGAAGCAGAAAGCAGGGCCACTTCCTCCTTCTTGATGTCCAATGGCAATGAGATTATTGGGACCCTGGGACCCAAAATCATGTTGTCAGGTGGGGAGGACGTGAGCGGCATGGCGATTGTCGATGTTCATTGCACTCTGACATGTGGCTCTTTCTTGGCCATCTTTGAGTTCTATTTTTACCCTCTTTATCCTTTGGTTAATAATGTTGGCAAAGAGAAGAGAGAGAGAGACACACACACACACAAACACACACTCCATAGACTCCATATAGGTGAAAGAAACAGTGCTTTTGTCAGCTTCAACAGCCTTTTGAGCCAGCCAGCCATTGTGGGACTGAGATTCAGGGCTAGGAACTGCACACCCCTGGGCAAGTGTCCTGTCTGAATTGGGGCTGGCTTCCCTATTAGTGAAAGCCCATTAGGCAGTCTCCCACGAATACCCAGGTAGCTAAAGATTCTGTTTATTAAGCACAGAGCCTCCTCAGAGACAGGTGCACTACATAAATACAAGGTGGTTTAATTATTTCAACAACCTACCAATACCATCTGAGGAGCAGCAGCAGGTCTAGGGCTTCAGTGCCTCTGCTGCAAATGATGTTTGAGGACATCTGTTGAACACATTCCCTTCCCTTTGCACTGCCCCCATTGGCACAGATCCCTACGTCAAAGTGTCCCTGCTTTGTGATGGGAGGAGGCTGAAGAAGAAGAAAACAACCATAAAGAAGAACACTCTCAATCCTGTCTACAATGAGGCCATCATCTTTGACATTCCCCCAGAAAACATGGATCAAGTCAGCCTGCTCATCTCAGTGATGGATTACGATCGGTAGGTTCCAGTCCCAGAGGGACACGATCCCCTCCCCCCCCCCACTTCAATGCAGCATAGGGCTCCTTGACCTTGGACCTGTGGTTCAGATCTCAGACGCCCATTGGCTTCCACTCTGGCTCCACCTATGAAGGGCACAGGAGTTTGAGAAAGAGTGCAGACTCCCCCTTAGCAAAAGTCTCCAGCCTCCTCTCCCAGCTGCTCTGTTTCCATTGATGAGGCAACTTTACCAGTCAGCGTCCCCTGAATTCACCATTCTTATTGGTCCATCTGGCACCAAGTCCTACCTACCATGTGTCCTTTAGAATACCTTTCTGTCCTCTCCACATCTGTGACTGCTACCACTCTCACTCCAGGATAGCAGCTATTCAACCTCCATTCCTCCCTTCCCCGATCCAGCAAACAGACTAAGGACACACCTTCCTGGACACTTTCTTCCTGGTCCTGCCCTTTTCAAGATCCATCAATGGCTCCTGTTGTCCATAATCTTGACCCAGCATATCCATCCCACCTGACCTCCCCTTCCTTGAATTTATTTCTTCTCTACTGTTTCTCCTGCTTTCCCATCAAGACTGGCTCAAAAACACTTTCCAACTACTCCAGCCCCCCATGATCCCTTCTGTCCAGATGTTACTTTAGCTGGAGGCAGAAACCATGCAATAAACCCTCTGTCCTGGGTTTTTAGCTCAAGTTCTCAGGCATGCTAGGTACTTCATGAACAGACTTGAGTGATGATTCACGTTCTTCCTGAGTGAATCAATCACACCCCACCCCTGGGGACATGGAGAAACGATGCTCAGAGCAGGTTGATTTATTTCCAAGATGTCTCCAGAGAGGCTGTAGGATGCTGGTTAAGTCAAATAAAGGAAGAGACAAACTCTCCCAGTTTCCAGAGTCGGGCCACCTGCAACTGTGTCCTGAGATTCCAAACAAGTTTATAAGCTTTTGTTCATCTCTCCGTGTCCAACGCTCAGCTGAGGAGGTCAGGCAAAGTCTCCCAGACACTGATACCCCGAGGCCCCGCCAGGCATCCGTTTCAGAATTTGATGCACTGGGCCGAGTGGCACCTGGAGGGACTTTCCTTTCTGACAGCGTGTCTTATAGCCAATGTTGGGACCTATGCTTCTCCCGCAGAGTGGGTCACAATGAGATCATAGGAGTCTGTCGTGTGGGGATCAATGCTGAAGGTCTGGGCAGGGACCACTGGAACGAGATGCTGGCCTACCCACGGAAGCCCATCGCACACTGGCACTCCTTGGTGGAAGTAAAGAAATCCTTCAAAGAGGTGGGTGAGGTCACCTGGTCCCTGGCATGTTTGCTGCATGGCAGTGTGGGCTGGAGAATGGCAGTTGGCTGCTGCGCCTCCCTCAGCCTTTGGTGGGAAGGGGGCATGGGGGCCACATGCTTCTCACCCAGTGCGTAACACATTTTAGACCGGGAAAGAAGGCGGAGGCTGCCTGGCAAACAGCCCTGACGTCAGCCGTTTGAAAGCAACAGTGAGTTCTTAATGGAAAATAAAAACTTTGAAGAAGACTTCCCAGCAGGCCACTGTGCCAGGCCTAAAAAGCCTTCACCAAGCTGGTGGGCCAAGAGAGTCCTTTAGGAGAGAGCCCCGAGGGGGTGAGATCAGAACTTGGCAAGAAGTTCTACCTCTGTGGGAACAGTGAGTTCCCTGGGGCTCCAGCCCGGCAGTCACTTGGCAGTCTTCACAGACTGGCTGGAGAGGTGGCCGTAGAGCAGATTTCTTCCTCTCGTGAAGGTGGGTTCTCACCATTGTGGGGGGCAGGAGTGTGGCCTCAAGGTGTCACACACTTTCTGGCTGAAGCTGGATTCCATCAAAGCCGTGGACTGGGCGTCYTGAGACTTGGGCTTCCATCTTGGCCCCTCCTGATGACTTGCTGTACCATCTGTAGCCTGCCACTCTGCCTCAGCTACCAAGAAAATGTCCCTTTGAGTAATGCCCCATCTCCATCCACCAGACCCCACCAACTTAAGATCCTTTGATCTGTCACTCTGGTGACCTGCTTTTTTTTCCCAATTGGCTTGGGATATGGGGGTGACCAGGCCAGACTGGAAGCTCATTTTTTAATATCGTACACTCCAGTATCTCCAAGAAAGCCGGGCGTTTATTCTCTCATCTTAACAGGCTTCGACCCTACTAAGTCCAGAGAGCTGTACAAAATTGGAAAACTTTAAAGCTTTATCCCTTCCATCCTATGATTCCCTCAATTTAAAAGCAAACTCACCTTAAACACAGTTACCCCCTCCCACGACGCTGATATAGAAAAGGTAGGCGTGGAAAAACCCGGGGGACCTGCCGGCTTCCTTTGCTTCTCAGGGTGGACAAATCATTTCCACCTGCTTTACAGCAGTAGGAAGTATGCCCGGAGAGACTGGGAGCTGAGGGAACTGGGCCCAAGGAAACTCGTGGGAGATGGTGGCTTCCCAGGAGCCAGGCCCATTGACTGACCTCTCCAGGTAGCCTGTGCTTTGTGAAGCTCCTGACCTATGGCCTGTAAGGCAGCATCAAGGACTCAGGCATAGATCCAAGTTCCTGTCAGTGGAGGCCTTGGGTTTCTGTCTTGATTTTCCCACAGCTATGGAGCATTAATGAGGCCAGACTCTCTGTCTGCAGCTACCCTAAGGTAGCCCTCCCCTCTCTTCCAGGAGGGCCTCCCTGCAGTGGGAGTAAGGTACCCACCACCAGCCACAGGGGGCGCTATTGGGCAGAACCCTAGGCAACCTGATGACAATCTAGGCCCTCACTAAGGGCAGTGTGGATTCAACCCGGGAAGTGGCCATGATAACCCGCCCCCACATCTTGTGGAAATATTTAGGAATAGAATAAGCGTACTAAACTGTTTAGAGTGGCTTAGGGGCAGGGCATGGAATGCAGCTAACACACCTCTGGAGCAGACCCCTTGCAGCTAACCCCCTTCCCCATCTTTGCTTTTTAGGGAAACGTTGACCCACTGGGCCCAGGAGCCCACAGGTTGCACTGTGACTGACTTTCTCACCTCCACACTCTGTGATTCCCATAATCCATCAGGCTTACCAGGCTGGGTCTACCCTTGGCAAAGGAAGTAACTGGTCAGAGCAGCAGCTGGAGCAGGGGTGTAGGGTACCACCCAGGTGCCAGAACTGGGCCCCCGAATAACAATGAATACAACCTAATTAAGTCAAATAATTGAATCCAAGTTCTGTTTCTTTGAGAACTCTGACTCACTAGTCCAGACTACAAAAGAAAGAAAGATAATGTAGAATCAAGCCCTTGAAAATGAATATTTGATGAGACAGTAAGAGGCAAGTAGCAGTATATGGAAAACGAAAAGAGAATAAATTGATTCAGATCCTTTGGGTTCATTTTTTTTTTTTCTTGACCTCACTCGCTGTGCGCCTGAGTCTGCCCCTCCCCCCCGCTATCCTACCATTTTCTGCTCAGCTGATCATTTCTCTGTATAAAGAAGCAAAAAAATGACATTCATCTCGGCAACTTAGGATAGCAATAGTATGTATTTGTATAGAATTTTCACTGACGCTTTTAGCACCCACGGTTTTACATATCTTTGTAAAAATGCATCTAAACCCCACCAGGCTGATATTAAGTGAACCTCTGGGGTTCACGTGAAGCTTTGAGCTTGAACATACATCTTCTCAGTCACCTTGAGAGCTCCCACTCTGCCTTCTTTTTGGTTCTGTTCTGGCCATTGAGCAAGAGCCTTGTTCCTGAAACTTAGGTCTCCTATTTGTATAATCCATAAAGAAATCTTCTCCAGCTCCCGGGAAGATAAATGGCATCGTATCGGTAAGCACTCCATATTTATCTTGCACCTTTCTCAGCAGAGCCTCAAGTGTTGTGATCATTTTTTTCTTTTTWCTTTTTTTTTTTTWTTATTAATGAGAACAGAGGACACCATACTTACGTGCTGGTTTGGTGCTTAAAATAAGGTTGAGGGGAAACAAATTAACTGAAAAGGTATTTTTCCCTGCTGGGATCTCTCATGAATAAAAATTCATTAAGCCACAATGAGCGCCCTTCCCCAGCTGCAGCGCCAGCCCCTTCCCTCCCAGCACTCCTGCCAACGTTTGTGTGTGTGTGTGTGTGTTGTCACCACACACAGGGCCTGGTTGACCAGTGACTTTCTCCAAGGTGCTTTATCAGGAAGGCCAATTTCAGATCATCTGCCAGAGATTTTAGATCTCTGCTGGAATGTGATCCTTTTCAGAACAAAAGACCCTCCCCCTGGAACAATAACTTTCCCGCCTGGAGGGGACAGGTTCTGTGCTATTTCAGAGCCATCTCCATAAGCCTGGGAACCATTCACCTTTCCATTGTCCATGAGCCTCATCTCCTCCCTTTGTTTATCTTCATAGGCGAAATCAGGGACTAGCAGGAGAGCCAGTGTTCCTTCTTCATTTGTTCTGGATAAACAATTATGCTCTGTGTGACTATTCTTTGGGCTGTTATATAAGGGGGAAAAGGTATTCTGTGTAGCCATTTCCTGTTTTCTCCTCTGACCTGGCCTATCAATCAGATTGTTTAAGTAGCAAGCTCACCCAGGGGAGAAGCCAGTAATTACAATGTACCTTTCACCGACATTAAAGGTTGGAACAGGAAAAAAGAAAAAAAAAAAATCCAACTCCTAAAATGAAGGTCTGCTAAATGAAAGCATTAGTGGTCGTCTTCTGTCACTTTCTGGTTAAGAAACACTTGAGTCAGAAGTCACAGTGGGCTCAACAACCAGGCATTTATTTATCTAAAATATCTCACCAGGGAAACCCTCGGTTGTGATTTCATTCACGTGGATGCTGCAAAGCAGAGAGACTACCACCTGGAGTTAGGAGTAAGTACCTGGTGTGGACCCAAGGAGGTTAGGTTTCTTATTACATTTTGTGTCTCCTTCCCCTAGTACAGCCACGTGCTAAGACAGAGGCAGGATGAAGGGGAAAGAGCACCCAGTTGGGAGTGAGGAGACCTGGTTTCAGGTCCTCGCTCTGCCCTAACTGTCTACCTCCTGACACTACCTGTGTCTTTGTTCTCTTATTTGCAAGAACAAAAGGGTTAGCCTGGAAGATCTCCTAAGCCTGTGTCCATTCTGACGTGCTGAGATTGCTCAGGTCTAGGTCATGTCATGGTGGCCAGCGATACCTGATTGTCCGGTGCTTGGTTAGTTGTAAAGACCTTCAGGTTGGCCTGTAAAGGGAGCACTAAGGAACCCATGCAGAACAGGGCTCAGAGAAGAACAACGCAGACTGTCCCTAGGACTGGGGTCATGGAGGTAGTGCCTCAGGTCTGGTCTCCCCTCAGCTTTGTGAGTTTCCCACTTAGTCTTCCTGGCGTGGCTCAGCTCTGCCTAGAGACAGCCATGTTGAGTAGGGAACTGTATCCTCCACCAGTCACCTCCAGAGGTCCCCAAATGCATGGTTATAACCTCTACTCAGCCCTGTCACTCCACAATGGAGACCCCCTAAGCTCATGAGAAGAAGGAGGTTCAAGGCTGCCCTTGGGGTTCAGAAGACCATCTTGACCACTTACTAAAATCCCTCCCTAGAGCCGGGTCTCATAGGCATTAAGAGAGTATTCTGTCCCCTAAGCCCACGAAAGGGCGAGTGAGCAGGGGACACTGACTCACTCTGAAGTTTCACCACCCCGAGACAGGTCAAGAATATTCATGGGGTCCGATCCTTGCCTGGGAGACATGGCTACGGCTATGACTGGCTTTTCCATCTGAAGGGTTGAATGGCCCAAGGCCCAGGTCCATTCTCCCTCAGCCCTCCTTCACTCCATGACACCTCATTGCATCACCCACTTCCACAGAAGGGTAGAGCCAGGCTGAGAGGAGGCCATCCGGGAGTCAGGGAGCTGGGGAGGAGAAAGGGTTTAGAGGGGCCCAAAGGGGAAAGGGTCCCTGTCCTCACACCTCCTACTGCTTCATAAGCCCGGTGTGAATGCTCGTAGGAAACAAAAGGCCAAAGAAGAGAGCCCAAGACCGAAGCAATATCAGGCTTTTTTCTTCTTTTTTCTTTTGCTGTACTAACAGCTCCCAGACAAATTGCTAATAATTCATGATCGTGGGTTCTTGGCAGTAATGCCACACTCTGCAGACTGCCTCTTTCGCTGCTAACATAATCTGATTTTCAGTGTGAAAAATGGCTGAAGCACTCAGAAATGGTCCAGTGGTAGCACCTTATTCTCACACACACACACACACACACACACACACACACACACACACACTCTACACACACTCTACATTGTGAAGAGAGCCGAAGTTACTTCTGCAGTAGTCTTTTTTTCTTTTTCTTTTCTTTCTTTTTTTTTTTTAAATCAAGTATTCCAAACTAGAAGCTGTAAGCTGTTTTCCTTATGTTTTTGCATGGCTGACAGCAAAATTCCAGAAAGCTTACTGAAAAGCTGGGGAAGGTGAATTCAGTGCATGGGCCAGTTAAGTTTTGGAAGTTACAACGTGAATTCCCTTGGCGATCAGTAACTGGCGCTTTTTCTCCTCCCCACAGTGGCAGGGCAGAGCTGCCAGCTTCGACAGCGAGAGCTCATGCCCGTCTCCAAAACCACCTCCGACGCCATGAGCCGCGAGGCCGAGCCACACCAATGGGACTCAGCAACGTTCTTTTCGCACTTGTTCAGCCGTCTAAATGCAGTGTTGTGCAACCGCGGTGCGCAGTGGCCCTCCGCCGCTCCAGAGTCTTAACTGCTCCTGTGTGTAGGTCAAGGCCGAGACACTTGTGTGGTCAGATCTGTCTTAGTCTTTTTCTGTCTCCCAGGTGATGTTTTTGTGGTTTTCACTTTGTAGGGGTCTGCTGTCAAGAAAAGAAGAAAACAAAAATCAAAACAAAACAAAAATCAATAAGGGGAGGGAAAAAAAAAAAAAAGGTTGGAGAGCCCAGAAGTCAGTTCTGTAAAATGCAATGTAAAATAGTAGTGGTCTTTGCAGGAGAGGTAGATTGAGTTTTTAAAGATTTTTGTGTCTCCCCCAACCTCTGCCACCTTGGAGAAGGAGGCAGGTGCCAATCAATTCAAGAGTAAGTGTTACTCTTTGAAGTTCTTCGCTGGTGTGACTTAAAACCAAGTTGCGGGCTCCTGATCCCACGTTGAAATTACAGGACCTCTGCGGTGTTTGTGAACTTCTGCTGATGTGCAGGGGCTTCTCGCTTGCCTTCCTTATTGGCTTTCCTCCTGAACTGAAACCATCTTGATTCCTCACGGGAACTTAGTCACTTTCTTTAGGAATGATTCTGCTAAAAACTAACCATGCCATATGTCTTCTGATGCATCACAGTTAATGATCACATTTGTTTGAAAACAGGATCTTTGTTCTCGAAAATAACCTTGGTTGTAAAGAAAGACAGGCGCATATGTTCCAGAATGATTTCTGCATTATACATAGCTTTGTAGTTTCATGAAGTGTCAAGCAGCTGTTTTCAATGCCTCAAGAGATCAAAAGAAAACCTAGATAGAATATTCTTTTCTGGATGGGAAGTTTCCAGGTCCAAGTCACAGCTCAAGTCCCTCTTTCTGGGAAGAGGAGCTTCTTGGTTGAAATCCAGTCAGCCTGAACCTATTTCAACCCCCACGGACTCTGGGACAGTACTCATCTTAAATTTAGTTCTTATCAATCACGAAGAATTCAGTGTTTGTTTTTGTGATAGTGAGGGGTCTGTTTTTGTTTTTTCCTTTAGATCTCTACCTTAGGCCAAATTCAGTTTAGAGAAAAAAAAATGTTTGAACTAATCTGTATTGTAACGACACATTCCTGTTGTGTTAGTAGTGGCCTTTACACCAACCCCTATAACTAGGCTGATTTGCTTGATCTCTGTCTGTATGGTCCTGGGAAGCACACGGAGGAGGGTTTCCACTTCACGTTGTGACTACACAGTTCCAACTTCCAGAGCTGCGAGAATGTCCCACACATTCAAGAAGCAAGTCAGGAAACAAACCCCATCTTCCAACCATGGAAGGTTAAGAACATCAAAACTATTCACACACTTTGTCTCTTCTTCTTCTATATGTCACATGCCACAAGAGGAGCAACTTAAGAAAGTAACCCTCATTTTAAGCCAAGTTACCAGGTTTCTCTGCCAATATAACTTTAGCTAATGTCTGCTAGCCCTAAAAGTGACCAGATGGGCTAACAAGATATCATGGCAAAAGAAGTTTCCAACCTAGAAGTAGATAAATCCAAACTCTACTCTGTGTCAAGCTTTAGGCCAAGAACTAATGTGCAAGGTCTTCTGTGACCAGACTCCTAGCAGGTGACAAACTTCATTGTGTTTCTTGACTCTAGACTGACCCCATCAAGATGGCCACCTTAATCATTGAGCAGATGCAGCAGGTCTTGCAACTATGAAGGGGACAGTTGAGTTCCCTGGGTTACAAGGAGCCCAGAAATAGTGTGAGAGGCTCCTCCCAGAATTGAGCTCAAAATGCATGTCCAGCTGCCATCTATAAACCCTTAGGCAGGAGAGGATGGCCCATTCTAACCTTCTGGAGGAGGGAGTGTGATCAGTGTGAATTGTGGGATTGCATTGTTCATCTGAGAGATTGTATATCCAGGTAGCTTTCTCCCACAAGGAAACATTCCAACAGTTTCAGATCATTTCCTGAAAAGATTATGGCCAATCCCACAGCACCCCAACCAACAACTACTACTATGGCTCCAGCAGGCTAGGTAAATTCCTACAGGCATGGGAACCCACCCAGGAAGGCTCCTGGACCCCCCACCACCACACACACACACACACACACACACACACACACACACACACACCAGCGCCATCAGGAGAGGCCAGTCCTCGACCTGAAGCATGAATGAGACCTAAAGAGCTGCCAGCTTCATCATCTAGCCCAGTATCTCTCCCTTGCAGATGAGAGTAAATTGAAATACAAGTTTCAGAATACGCCGAAATTCAAAGTGATTCATTTGTCCTCTGCTTCCTCTGGCATGAGAATCCTCCTGGGTGGTAGTTGTGGGCTTTGCTGAAGTTGCGATAACCAGGGCCGTTTGCACACAGATGTTGATTTAAAAAACACAAAGTTCCCTTCTCCTTTATTTAGCAGTGTTTCTGGGCTGTCCCCTCCCCCTCTGCGCTTACCCAAGATGTTAATTAATTGTATCATCATTTAAAAAATTATGTTGTTAATTACTGCTTTGTGTCTTCCCACCCCTGTCACAGCCTGGAGTTTTTATTCAATTAAATCTCTGTCTCTTGCCCATTTCTCCTGTCATTTTGTGTTCCTGAGGTTGGGCAGGCAGCCCACGCACAGGATACTGACAAGCTTTTAGTTTTAATGTTCATTTCACACAGATAACCACTTGCCTTCAATCAGGGGGACACAGAAGGCCTTGTTGGTTTCTCACTCTGCCCCAGGAGTAGCTGCGCACCCCACCAGACTGGAACCCACCTGTGCTTTGTCAGGCTGGCGGCTCACAGAGACACRGGCTCTGCTGTTCCTTCAGCTGTTCAGCTCTACAAGCAGCCCCTCCAGATGCCGAAGCCTCTCCAGGGAAGTGGGTCACATTGGTATCTGGAAAGTACAATGCTTTCCCCCACCAGGAGAAGAATCCTGCTAACTCTTGTAAAACACAACTTGGCAAAGCCGTGGGAAAATACTATTCCAGACTCGAAAATTTAAAAAGAACACCCCAGCTTAATAGGATAGCCTCTCTGCTCCCCCCCCCCCCCCCCCCGCCCCAGCTTTTAATTAATTTAGAAGGTGGCCTGTAGAGAGGAGAGTGGAAGGTACATCCATTTCTGCACATCTGCATCTAAATTACTGATGCTCTCTCTACAGGGAGCTGAACTGCTGAGAGAAGCACTCCACTGCCTAAGGAGGCCACTCCCTCCATGCTAGCGCCTTCCATCAGGTCAGCCAGCAGGATTCAGTGATGAGCTCTTCATATCTACAGCTAATACCCAGCAGGGTAAAAGTGTCAGTATGTGCTGGGTTGTGCTGCAATAACAACCTTCAGATCTCAGTGACAGAAAACAGAAAAAGGCTTATTTCTCTTGCTATGTGCCCACCATAGGTCAGTAAGGGGAACCCTGCTTGTGGTATTTATTCAGGGGACTCAGGATAACCAAGGAGCCAACATCTCAAACATTGCTATGGTCTCATTCATGCTACAGTTGCCATGCTGGAGGGAAAAGAACAGTAAAGGTCTCATATGTTCTAAGTGCTCTGGTTAAAAATAATAATAATAACATGTGTTGCTTTTCTTCACAATCCATTGACCTCCCTTCACCTCCGACCTCCAGAACATAAGGGGGTTGGAGGGCCCAGAGGAAGAAGACTGGAAATACTTAGTGAGCAACCCTCGGGAAGACTACAATGAACTTAACAGACCTGTGGAGCATGACAGCTACTAACAGCTGATGCCATAAAACCAAGAAAAGGAAACTCTATTCATTGTTGCAGGAAACTTGCCTACAAAAAGCTTTCAGTCTAGTAAAATAGCCATAAATGACAGTAGTTCAAGGTAGAAAGTAGAAGTACAATAGGGGAGGGGGGGAAAAGAAAGTTAAAGATACCCAAGAAAGCCTATCACAGCTTGCAGAATGAGCAAAGTCTTCCAGAGAGAAGTGGCATCTGATCTAAGCCTCTAAGAATGAGTAGGGCCAGGCATGGTGGTGCACACCTGGAATTCCAGTGGCTTGGGAGGCCAAGGCAGGAGGATTACAGGTTCAAAGCCAACATCAGCAACTTAGTGAGAGCCTAAGCAACTTAGCAAGACCCTGTCTCTAAACAAAATATAAAAAGGGCTGGGGATGTGGCTCAGTGATTAAGTGCCCCTGGGTACCAAAAAAAAAAAAAAAAAAGAGGAGGAGGAGGGAAGAAAGAAAAAAAAAAGAATGAGTGGGATTTGGAGACATGGAACTTGGGGAGGAGAGAGGCATAGTCCAGGCTGGGGGTCCAAACAAGTGAAGACCCAGAACAGAGGAGTTCCTAGGGCTGCCAAGCACCCTGGATCCAGGGGAGACAGTGAATCCCATCCTCCAGCTTAAGTAACACCTTACTTGCCCTGGCCAGCCAGGCAGAAAGCAGGACTTGCGCCTGACCTTCTCCTGTCCCCTGTCCTGAGCTCCACACCACCATTCTAGCCCTGGCCTCAGCCTACTACCCTAACCACCTCTCCTGGGAACTTGCCCCATTTCCCCCTTCCCTTTGCTGACTTGGTGCCTGCTCCCCAAAGGGCCCATCCCCTGGAAACACCAGACTTGCCCCATCTTGAGAATCAGCCACTTCCTGCTTAACCCCCCTCCCCTCCCTGGGCTACTGGTCAACCAGAAGCCACTGAGTACCTTCTGATTTATGCTTTGCCCTTCTCCCCTCCAGGCTGAGACCTGTGTAGAGTCTGAGTTCCCAAGCAAGGGAAAAGGATGAGCCTCTCCCTGGCTTCCCTCTGGCTAGTTCACAGCAGCAAGCCCACAAGAGCAGGGGAGGCTCAGAGAGCAGTAGGGGCTACAGAAGCCCACTCAGGAGGGGTGGAAGCCTGAGCCAAGGCAGGCACTACACAAGGTAACAAAATGTAGGGGTTGCTGAGGGAAAATGCAATCGGCCACAGTTGAGC